CTAGTATTTAAAAAGATGGCATGTTCTCAAAAATGCATAATTCGATTTTGATGAATCTTGACATACATTGTTACTATACTTTACCAAGATTGTGACCAAAATTTAAAGCTGGTTCAATAGTTTTTGAGATATGCGAAGTTGATGGGTGGCTGGTTCCGCTTTCAATACTAGTATTGAAACAGATTGTACGTTTTTAAAAATGCATAATTTTGATGAAACTTGCCATACATTGTTACTATACTTTACCAAGGTACATTTTCACTGTACCTTACAAAGATTGTGACTAAAATTTAAAGTTGGAACATTCAATAGTTTCTGAGATGCGTGGTTGATGGGTGGCAGGTTCTGCTCTCAATACTAGTATACGTTTTCAATTTGATTTTGAAGTATACCGAGTTGCTCTAGGGCATTGTGACACAAGACAATATTGTAGATAATTTAATTCAACCTAAGGCATCATTCGTACCACGGTTCAAAAGTTATAAGACTTACAATAAATAAATACACCATACAATAAGTCAATAGATTTCTCTATATAAAACCGTACGATGGGCTAGTTCCCTTACCCTTCCTCGCCGCTCGATCCCGTACCTTTCTGTCGATAGATAGGTGAGAATCTCTCGAGATATCTCCGAGATAATGGGATTCGAATCCCAAAAGTGTTGTAGCACAAGTGCGAGAATAATACGACAGTCCGCTGCTCCGTGAGGAGGGCGATGAGGTGCACCTTCGATGTATGATGTATGACGTCATGAGAGTTTTGGCCATGGTGCTAAATTTTGGTGACTTTGGTGAAATGGTGGATGAAAATTTAAGGTTGTGGTTGGGGAGAATATACTGGACTGGAAGTTTTTGTTAGTTTTTACGTGGTGGATACATTACCAATATGTGAATATATTTGATTTATTTATTTTGGAATATGCTTAAATATGTTTAAATGTTTTGTGTATACTTGCAAAGAAATTTATACACATTTCTACATACTTGCACACATTTACATACAATTTTACATATTTAAATAACTTTCACACATTTATACACATTTGCACATACTTGCACAAACTTGCCACATACCTAAGCAAATAATCTTATCTACATATTATATAAAAATAAGTCGGGTTTTCCTTCCTGGCGATTTAACTCCAGAACGCACGAACCGACAATTTTGCATTCGTTCTAAAGGTTTCGGGATCCGCAAGGTTTATAGCTAAGAAAATTAGTGGTGCATGGCATCGTGCCTTAATGCAAAATGCTGGAACATCACGCACCGCAATTAAAAATTCGAGTAATGACATTAGTAAGAATTATTAGAAATATGCTTGGTTAAGTCAACGAGCAATTTTGCCGCAAAGAATAATGATGTACACGCACTGAATTTCACCATTCAATCAAAAATTGCTGGCGATTTGGTGACATACCAATGATTCCGACTGGTCTTCCGTTTAACTTCAAACGATTGCAATTTCCAGTTCGCCTTGCGTTCGCAATAACAAGTCGCAAGGCCAATCGCTTAGTGTTTGCGGGATAAATTTCAAATAGATTATTTTGAAAATCATTGTTTTCCACATGGGCAGTTATACGTTGCCTGTTCACGAGTTGGAAAACCATCCGCTTTGTTTGTGTTAACGTCAGACCAAAAAATAAAAAATGTGGTTTACCAAAGAGCACTTTAATGAAACGGATAATTTGCGGATTCACTTTTATTTACTTAGAGAAGTTCAACTAAAAAACACTTCATTTTTGTAATCGAAATAAATTCATTACTGTTGCGTAATAAAATCAAATTTTTCCTTTTCAAATATAAAACAAACAAAAAATCTCTTCATCTTTCTCACGAAACCATCTGGTGGCGAAACGGAGTTCGTCAGGTTTGCTAGTATATATATACATATTTGCACTTAGGCAGGCCCTAAGCCAGATTTCATCATTATCTACTTGCTTCATGAAAAAAAATCATAGATGTATACATATATAGTATGTTTATATATCTTTTATGTGAACTACAAAATATTGTCACACTTTTTTGCGCTAATTGCCCTAGAAGTCTAGGTTTGTCTCATTATCAGTGTAATTTAAAAATTATCCTTCTTACTTATATATTATTGGATACTCATATTTTGAGAACTCGTGTCCAAAAGCCTTCACGATGCAGTCCTGGGACCCCCTTCGATCGGAAGGGGCCCCCTTAGAGGGAAACTAACTGTCTGAATATCATGACATTAATATAGGGAAATCTTTGACACATCTCACCTTCTATATCAAATTGAATTCGGCGTGTCTCTCCTAAGATAATCTTAGATTTCGTCTTATACATACACAGATGTACATTTGTATACATATGCATGTATATATATACATTTATATATACAGTTTTATTCATTGGCAAGTGAGTGTGTAAGTAACAGATGATTCGGACACCTTAAGGACAGAAATCTATCAAGTTGTTATCAGATTCCATTTTAGATGGAATTTATACATACCTAAGTGTATTTAGGGCTTATATATATATATATATATATATATATATATATATATTAACAAAGTCTGATAATCGGGCATAACATCAATAAAAAACCTGAATTTCTTTCAAAAATTTATTTTAAATCCATACGTTTCGGCTATAATCCTAGCCTTCATTCAGTGGAAACTAAAAATAAAATTAAAAACTAAAACAATTGAATTGGAGTGAAAAGAAAAAATAAAATAGTAAATAGTACTTACAATTAATTGATCTTAGTGTTAAATTGGAAAATTTTAATAATCCATGGTATTAGGATATGGTAATGCACTACACTATGTATTATAAACATTAACTTGAAATTACACAATATTTTCACAAAATACTGATTTGAAAAAATCACAAATGGATAGTGTGTTATTCGTAGACTGGTTGAAGATGTAATGGAGAAAGACATTTTTTAAAAAATCAAATATACAATTTGATATACAATTATACTCATTATACTCATTCAAACATACTGTAAACACCTATGCAATACAAAAACTCATGTTTCATCATCGGTTTTAATATTTTAGAGTATACCGAACCGATTTAGGGACTCTTACTCATAATTTGTTCAAATCAAATGTTACAATTACAATTTGAAATTTTACTAAATTGTTGAAAACTTAAACGAGAGAGTGTGGATTATGCTTTGTGACTGCTTGTAAAACTGTCTGGATTAACTTGAAATGTTCCTGGCGGGCTTTAATTGGGGAATTATACATATATACATGTATATATATATATATATATATATGAGTGTGTGTGTATAAGTATATATGTGTATATAATCCGCCATTTATGACTGGCTTAACCTATAAAAGACAAAAGTCAGGATTAAAAGGTTTTGAATTTAAATGGAAGTATTTAAATGTATATATATATATTATATATATATATATATATATATCAGAATTTTGTGATATGAATGGAACGAATATTAATACAACATTAAGATTTCTAATACACACTTTATTTGGTAATTACAGACGTTTCGAGACCATGGTATGCCTCATCTTCAGTGTATTGTCAAAAACAGTTACTTATATACTACACATCCTTTAATATTTTATTTAAATTACATTTAATTTTTGATAATACAAAAACACCAACTCTTATAATATATTTTACACAATCTTATATAAACATCATTATTAATTTATAATTTTTTTTTTCATTTATCTTATTCACTCCAATAAATTGATCTGTTGCAATATTAAATTGATATTTTAATAATAATTCACTTTTGTATAAATTATTATTAAAATATTAATTTAATATTGCTAGAAATGGTGCAGGCGTGAATTTGCACTTTTTAGTTTGTGGAAACTAAATTGTTTTATCCAATTCTTTTAATTCTCTCTGTGAAACAAAACTGCTTAAATTAGCTTTTTCTAAATTTTATGCCAATGATTAGTTTTTCCCAATATTTCAACGATTTCTGTGTAGCCGAATTCATCAGCAATGCGTACGGGTGTCCTATAAAAGTTATCCACCGCAACAATATTTGCACCGTTGTCCACTAATACTTGGACGATATTTTTGTAGCCATGCATTGCTGCCATATGCAATGGTGTAAAAAGATATACAGAAGCATCATTAACACGTGCGCCACTAATGATAAGATACTGTACTATTTCCAAGTGACCATTTCCTGCTGCACAGTGTAATGGCGTATTCTTCAAAATACAACTATCATTAACATTGGCGCCTTTACTTATGAGAAACTTTACTACAGCGATGTGACCGTTAGTAGTTGCTAATTGCAGTGGAGTCGACCAGCTCTTGAAACCATCATTGACTTTGGCGCCATGAGCAAATAAACACTGCACAACATTCAAGTGACCATTTTCTGCTGCTAAATGCAACGGCATGCATTCTGTCTCATTATCAGTGATGGCGTTGACATCTGCACCTTTTGCGATCAAAAGCTGGACAATCTTCAAGTAACCCTTTTCGGCTGATAAGTGCAATGCTGTCCATTTTTGGTCAGCAGCATCATTTACATTGGCACCATTACTAATCAGACACTGAACAATATCGAAGTGGCCTTTTGCTGCTGCTATGTGCAACGCAGTACCAATTGTTCTAGTTCGAGCATCAACTCTGGCGCCTTTTGCTATCAAATAGTTGACAACATTCAAGTAGCCTTTATCGGCCGCTAAGTGCAGTGGAGTCCAACATTGATTATTACCTATGATTTTGGCGCCATTACTAATTAGGAACTGAACAATATCTAAGTGATCATTCTCTACTGCAAGATGCAATGGAAAATCAGATGTTATAGTAAAAGCATTGACATCGGCGCCTTTACTAATTAGATATTGCACAACTGACAAGTGACCTTTTTGAGATGCCTTGTGCAGTGGAGTCCACATTTTCTTGTCATAGGCATTTGTTTCAGCACCTTGACTAATCAGAAATTGCACTATATGCAAGTGACCATTTTCAGCTGCGTTGCGCAATGGAGTCTCCTTCTTTGCGTTAGCAGCATTAACATTGGCACCTTTACTAATTAGATACTGGACTACTTTTAAGTGGCCATTTTGAGATGCGATATGCAATGGTGTCCTTTTGTCTTCAATAGCGACATTGACGTCGAAGCCACTTCTTCTAATCAGATACTTCACCCCTTGCAATTCGCCTTTTTCAGCGTCATCATGCAATTGAGTCCATTTTGCTGCTTCGCTACTGTTTACATTAGTATCCTTAGCAATTTCCTTTTGATCACATGTTGTTATTTCCTGCGTTTTACCTAAAAACAGAAATAAATTATATTTTGATATTGAAAATGCTAACGACGAATTTCACCTGTAACTCCACCAGATGGTCCCGGTTGGTTAGATTTATCAAAGGCCTTCACAACATGGGGGATGGATTTGTGGATTTCCGTTTGATCCTCCGATCTTTTGACAATATCTAGAAATGTCATGCCCTTCTTGTTGACAATATCGCTGAATGCTCTTTTTTTCAGGAGCAAATGTATTAGTCGATCAGAGTTCTTTTTGGCGCAAATGTGCAGAGCAGTGTCACCATCGTCATTCTGCTCATTTAATTTAATTTTCCACTTTTTCAGTAGCAATTCCTGAACTATTTTTTCTGAGGTTTCTTCCACGGCGCAATGAAGTAGAGTATTGTTCTTTTTGGCACTGTCTCTAATGTTCTTGGGTTCTATGCAGCAAGAGTTGAGCATACTTTGGACCTTTGATAAATCGTGGTCTCTGATGGCCTGGAAGATAACTCCGCGTTGCACTTTTGCAGTAGACGTTGGATGATTATTTGCCATTGTTGACTAAAAATTTATTAAAATTAAAAACTAGTAGCAAGAGTTTTAATTAACCAACTAATGTTATCCATTTGGCATTACACAATGTGATAAGTATAATTCCATTGTCTATCTAATAAAATTATTGTTATGATATCAGTAGTAAGATTGACAAAACAATCTAATCAGTGCCTTCTAAATTAATTAGTGATCAGGTGATAACGTGCTTTTCAGACGTCGCAATTATATGAATTTAATATTTGATATTAAAAATTTAAACATTGATGAATATTAATCTAGTCGATAGTCTTGAATGAAACAAAAAATATTTTTAAATGTGCGAATATCATATACAATAATCGTTAGATTTTACTATAAACTAGCTGACCCGGCAAACGCTGTTTTGCTAAGTAAGATATATTCTAAACAATTTCTAGAGAATCAAAAATATTTACACTTTAAGTGCATAAGTATGTGTTGTTTGAATGCTATATACAATGAGGTATTATAGAAACAATAAACCCAATTCGTTTGTCTATATTTTGTCAATACAATCAAACTGGAAGATTTATACACTTTCTATAGAAAACATAGTATAATCTATCCAAGGCTTTTTTGGTCTTTCAACTTATTGATTATGTTCCAAGTTTTTCAGATTCTTTTTGGATTCTGGATTTTGTGTATAAGTGTAAATAATACTACTGACAAAATACACAATTTTCAAATTTTTGCAAGGAGAGATAGAAAATGAATTAAGTATTTCTTCTTTGACCTGCTTTTTAAGAAGTTTCAAGTAACATTCGACGAATTAAAGTAAATTTAATAAAAAGTATGTATGTAGAGCAGGGCAAGGCACAAAGGTCTAATTTGACTTTGAGCCAATATAAACTATATTGTGAAAACCATAACAATTATATCACAACAAATAATACATATCAAACGAACAATTATCTGACTACGTTCAGTAAAATTGCAAGTTACTCATCATTGTAAAAATGTGATTTTTTAGCTGTCTTTCATAAATTTGTCATCTAGACCTTTTTACCCTATAGGCGGAGTAACTTGGAACGGCCAGATGGAAAGCAAGTTCAATGTCTTATTTTAATTTTAAAAGTATTTTACAAAATAATTACACTTTTAACTAATGCTAAAAAACTACCAACGGAAGAAAATACTTTTATTATGGATTTTCAAATATTACCGTTTATCTCCCGATGGCAAAAAATCAAAGTTATAGCTGGTTATATATTTTTTCCCTCTACTTTCAAATATTGTTGTTAAACAATGCTTAACTGTACTGGTTTTTGACACATTGATGGTGGACTTTTTTAACCCCAGACCTTTATATAATACTATCTATTCTTCGATAAATTCTGGGAAATTATAACTGGGAAAATGTTATTCCCCAAATGTATCTTTGATCGATACCAAGTTTAGGTTCTGAATTTAAGTAACATAAATATAAAATAATATAACCTAGAAAATGTGTTATAAATACCAATGAGTATATAATTATACATATGAGATCTTTCCGAGCACCGTGTTTGAGGAAAATATGCCAAAAAGTATATTTTCATATTAACATTTCAAAAAAGTTGTTGTTTTGAGTTTCTAGTTACACTTACGGCCCGTTGAATACGTTTTTGTGTATAAATAAAACTACAAACAAAACTACTTACTACAATTTAATCATAATTAAATAATATTCACGTAAAACGTCCTATTAAACGTAATTGAACATCATCTGTCAAAAACGTTTGACATTTGACGTATTAGTCACCGTGCATTGTTTTATTCAAATTAAGCTTCTACAAAAATGTTCAAATTAAAAATGTAAAGTTTCTACGCGATTTTGAAATAGTATCTCACCTTTACGACAATCTCTGGATTGGCACGAATTTTTCAAGACTAAGACTGGACAAATCGGTTTAGCCGTTTTCGAGTTTTGGCGGATCATTTGATTGAGAGCTCCATTTTTATATATAAGATAGTAGGTTTCAAAATATACACGGCAATTAGTTTGCTTTATTTTAGTTTCTGTATTTATTCAGTTCTTTGTATTTTAGTTTATTTGCTCATTAAGCAAGCTTAAGCTAATAATGATAAATATTATCATTAATTATCATTGTTGTTTGATCGAGCGTTTTGCAAAATATCAACTTCTGCAATCTAACCTGGAAATGCTACTAATGAAACATTTCTCTTAAAATATTTGTCTTATAAAATATATATTGGTACAGAAATAAAATTCATTACCTGAAATTACATTCGAAATACCTACAAATATTTTGTTATTAAATTTCACATTGTTAAATTTCAACAAATTTTTAAAATACTTGCAATCATAACGGTAAAGAATTTCATTATAAAGAATTGTGCAGAATTTTATAAGCTTTAACTCAGTTAAATGTCGTATTAAGCTACTATTTGTATTTTTTAAGTTATAGAGCAGAAAGTAAAAAAATGTCTTTAGTTCGTTCTGTGTGAGAGAGAGAAACTAGTCCTGGGACTTTTTTGCAAATGTTAACGTATAACTGAAAAACTAATTATGATATCTCAATACTATCTTTGGACGTATTAAAACTTATAAAATTCTGTACATTTTTGCTTTACATCATATCATGATATAAATAAAATTCATTATTAAAAACTGTGTTCGAAAAACGCTCTTGCATTTTTTATATACACGTATACGTGTATACACATATGTATTGAAGAACAGGAGTAGTTGGTATTTAAGTTGTTGCAACTTAGGAGAACACTTCTGTATATATATTATATATATATATATATATATATATATATATATCTATATATATATATATATATATATATATATATATATATCTTTTATCCATCTTTGTCAAGTCGTGTTAGAACTCTCAAACTTTAATTCAACAAACTTGTGATTTTACTCAATAGACAGAAACTTTCCAATAGTCCCACATAAATGTATATATATATATATATATATATATATATATATATATATATAAATTGTAACTGGAAGCATTCATATGTCAATTCCATTTAAAACTTTTGAAAGTTCCAAAACTTAATTATATCATCAAAGAAAATGGATTTCTTAAGATTAATAATAAATTTCACATATGGCAGATTGTATTTTATTATATTATATAATATATAAAACTATTTAGAAAATTAGAACTTAACTTTGAGTTATATATATATATATATATATATATATATATACACGTATATATATATTATTACTGAAAAAAAATAATTGCAAGGAGACTTATCACTAATGCATATGTTAATTTCTGAACATATTTTTGTATAAATAAATATTAAAATACAAAAATTTTATTCTTGAAAACAGTGCAGATACAAGTTAATTTCTGGTTCTGCAGACTTTTACTAATTTACAGAATGTAAAATCATTTATTTAAGTCAAAAATTGCATTCATATAATTTTTTCTATTTTGTGCACTCAATAGTTCAATGATTTCTATATGTCCTTTTTTATATGCAAGGTTCATCGCGGTTTTGTTACAGTTATTTTCGACATGAAGTTTTGCACCTTTGTCCATCAGTAGTTGGACAACATTTTTGCGGTCATTATTGGCTGCACAGTGCAGTGGTGTCCAATTTATAAAACTTTTAGCATTGATATCGGCTCCTTTACTAAGCAAAAACTGCACCACTTCCAGGCGCCCGTATTGAGATGCACCGTGCAATGGAGACCATTTTGTATTACTTCCAGCATTGACATTGGCGCCTTTACTAATCAGAAATTGCACCACCTCCAAATAACCATTTTGAGCTGCGATATATAACGGACTCCTAGTTCTGTTGTCAACAGCATTGACATCAGCAGCTTTACTAATCAGAAACTGCACTACTTCTAAGCAACCATTTTGAGATGCACTATGTAATGGAGTCCAACTATTTTCAGTAACGGCATTGACATTGGCACCATTAATAGCCAGAAACTGCACTACCTCCAAGTGACCTTTTCCAGCAGCTAAGTGCAGTGGTGTCCAATTTGTGTTAGTTGTGTCATTGACATTGGCGCTATTACTAGTCAGAAACTGCACTACCTCCAAGTGACCTTTTTCAGCAGCTAAGTGCAATGGAGTCGAATTTGTAATACTATCAGCATGAACATTGGCGCCTTTACTGATAAGAAACTGCACTACCTCCAAGTGACCATTTTCAGATGCAATATGCAATGGAGTCCAATTTTCTTTAGTTAAAAAATTGACTTTGGCGCCTTCACTAACTAGAAATTGCACTACCTCCAAGTGACCATGTTGAGCTGCAATATATAACGAAGTGTATATTCTTTTGCAATATGCATTGACATTGGCGCCTTTACTAATCAGATACTGCACAACCTTCAACTGACCATTTTCAGAGGCCCAATGCAATGGAGTCAAATTTTCTATATCAACAGCATTAATATTTATACCCTTATTAATCAGGCATTGCACTACCTCTAAATGACCATGTCGAGATGCATAGTGTAATGGAGTCCCATGCTCACTAATAGTATTGCTACCTTTCATCATCGAGTATTTGAATATATCAAAGTAACCATTTTGGGAAGTATAAAAGCAAGAGAGAGGAAATATTTTAGTAACAGCATTAAGATCGGCGCCTTTACTAATCAAAAATTCTACTACATCCAAGTTTCCATTTATAGAAGCAATATGCAATGAAGTGATTTGTCCTATAGAACCAGCATTAATATTGGCGCCCTTACTAATTAATACTTCGAGTACATCCAAGTGACCTTTATTAGTTGCGACGTGTAAAGCAGTTAGGTATTTATTACTGGCAGCTTCAATGTTCGCTCCCCTGTCGATTAACATCTGAACTACATTTTGAAATCCATTTTGGTCGCGCAATGGAGTGGCGTCAACTTGTCCTTACTTTCGGCATCTATTTTGGCACCAAGGCCTAACAGGTATCGAACCCTTGCTATTTCTCCGTTATATGCTGCGATGTGCAAAAGCGACCAATTCTTATTAGCAATTTTGTTTATTTTAGCATTCCTGTCCAATATTTGCGGAGATACTCTTCGCTTCTTATTATCCTTTGTATGCATTGGATCAACTTTTGTTATTTTCTGCTCCTCGCTTTGCCCTTTAACCGAAATCTCTTTTATTTTCATGTTGAAACGATTACTATTAAAAATATTTTTTAATAATTTATTTATGCCAAAAATTACGATAAGATAATTTTCAGAATCAACTGCAAGATCTTTTTAATTTTAAAACAGTAAAAAGTTTTTATATCTTACCTGTAACTACTTGATGCATTATCTCAACCTGCTGGTTGCTTCTGTAGATTCCTGTTCGAATCACCAGCCTCCTAAGAATATTCAGAAATGTTAGACCTTCCTTGTTGACAACATCACTGACCGCTCCGTTCTTCAGGAGCAAATGTATAAGTCGATCGTAGTTGTTCTTGGCACAAAGGTGCAGGGCAGTGTCACCATCGTCATTCTGTGCATTTATATTTATTTCCCACGTTTTCAATAATAGCTCCTGGACTATTTCATACCTATTTTCTTCCACGGCACAATGTAGGAGTGTGTTGTTTTTATCGGTTTTATCTGTAATGTTTTTTGGTTGAATGTCACAGGAGTAGAACAGACTTTGGACTTCTGTCAAATCGTTGTCTCTTATGGCCTGAAAGATTGCCTGTTGTACTTCTGTACTTGTCAGATTATTTCCCATTGTGGTTGACAATATTTTTATATTTACATAACAAACTCTTATTTTTTATATTTATCAAATATTGTTTATTTGATTTTGTACAATATATAAAGTACAGTTCAAGAATATATATAATAACGTTATCGTTATCATACAAATTGCAAATTATCGATTGATAAAAGTAATCAAGTCAGTGCTAGTCAATATAAAGAATCAAATTATCAGTGGTGGCCATGGTGATATTGAACTGAAACTAGAAACATCTTTACTAGGCCTGTAAGATTTTTTATTATTTAAAATATATACTAAATTGTTTTATTCATTTTTCTATATACAAATTTTGATATAAAACGGGTTAAAACCATTGTATTTAAATATCATTTAAATATTAATTGAATTTGTTGTTTCCTTTTTGAATAACTTAAATAGGCAAGCGAATAGGTGTATCTCTTCTTCGGCGGCGAGGTCCAGTGGTTTTTTATCATCGATATTTATTTTATCAGTGTTTTTATCTAGGTCCATCAATATCTGGATGATATTTTTGTGATTATTTACAGCTGCACAGAGATTGATTGATTGATTGAGCTTGCGATCCTATATTAGTAACAGAAGCTGTGCAACTTACAACTGATCATGTAAAACTGCAATTGAAAATATCAATAGTATTATTTTAGTCATTAACTTTTGGACAGCATTCAAATGTAATAGATTCTAATTTATTTTAGCAACATTGAAAACATCGCTCCATTACAAATCAAAAACTTGATTACTTCGATGTGGCTATTTTCTGCGGCCAAGTGTGATGGAGTCCAATTATTGTCAGCAACAGCGTTTACATCGGCGCCATAGTTAACCAATAGTTCGACAACATCCAAGTGGCCTTTTTCAGCTGCAATATGTAGAGGAGTCCAATTATCTTCTAAAACACCATTGACTTTAGCACCTTCACTGATTAAAATGTGCACTACGTCTAAGTGGCCCTTATTTGCAGCAAGGTGCAATGGAGTCCAGTTTTTTTCAGAAACACCATTGACATTAGCGCCCTTACTAATCAAGAACTGGACAACTTTCATGTGGCCATTTTCAGCTGCTATGTGTAAAGTCGTCAATCCTGCTTCAGTAACAGCATTAATATCAGCGCCTTCAGTATTCAGAAGTTGGATAACATCTAAGTAACCATGTAGAGCTGCTATGTGTAAAGATGTACAATTTCTTTTGGCAAGAGCATTTATATTGGCGCCTTTGTCAATCAGAATTTGAACTACGTCAAATTGGCCATGTTTAGCTGCAATATACAAGGGCGTCTGTCCTTTGTTATTGATAGCTTCAATATTTGCTCCACTATCGACCAGTAACTGAACCACATCTTTAAATCCATTCATAGCCCCAAAATGGAGTGGTGTCAACTTGTCTTTACTTACGGAATCTATCTTTGCACCCAGAATTAGCAACTTTGTAACTGTTGCTGTTTTCCCGTTGTATGCTGCGTCGTGCAAGGGCGACCAAGTCAAACTGGCAACATTTATTGCTGCGGTATTTGACTCCTCTGCACCAACTTGATTTTGACGAAGATTACTATACCTAGAATTTAGTGATGTAAATAGTCATAATAGCCAAATAGAAACAAATATAATCTACCTGTAACTTGATGCGATGATCCCGGTTGGTTAAATTTATCTGCACTGTTCTTACCCTTATATTTGCTTCTGAGAATTCTTGACTGGATCATTATTCTTCTGATTATTTCTAAAAATGTTTTAGACTCCTTATTGGTCACATCACTATTCACTTCTTTTTTGTTGGTTCCAAAATTACATGCATTTATGTTTCTTTCCTAATTTTCCATTAGCAGTTCCTGCACTAATTCTTCCTCGTCTACAGAAGGCAGGAGTGTTTTGTTTTTATTGAATTTGCCTGTAATGTTTGTGGATTGATTGTTGCAGGATTCGAGCAGACTTGAGACTTTTAGATACTGATTATCTCTGGTAGAATGGAAGATTTCTTTGTATTGCACTTCTGCATTTGAGGTTGGCACAACATTTTCCATCGTGGACGAAAACAATTGAAATTACTTTGTTTTCTTACGGGGATCTTCTCGATTTAAGATGGAACGATATAGCAAGTGTAATTTATTATACCAATTATACCAATTTATTATATCAGTTGCAAATTATCATACAATCGCCAGAAAAAATAATCAAAGCAGTGCTTGCCAACATACGGCGATAGCATAATCGCTAGTGATAGAGGAAATTTGTTTTTGTCAAACATTGAGACTGAAAATATTTAACCAAGTCCTAAAAGACTATGATGACGTCTTTCTTCAACCAGACAAGGCATTGTTGTGAAAATTGAAATGTCGATAAACTGAAAACTACTCGTAGGATTTTATTGAAACAAAAACTTTTGATTTGCAAAATTTTTGCATTTATTATTAAATGTACTTACTCTTTATTATTCTAGAATGTAATTTGATGCAAATCTTTTTGTCAAAAGTGCTATTGACTTTGACATCATGAAACTGCTGCTCGAAGGAAATGGACATTTATTCATATTTTCAATTAAATGAATTCTTTAGCTGAATTTTAAAGCAAAATTAAATCTTCATTTCTCTATAATGATATAATTAAATACATTTATATTTTACACTTGCATTAGAGAAAAACCAACTTTAATTAAGTTCGTCTCAAAACATTATATACATTTTCTTTTATTTTCAATTTTAATTTGTAAACTTCAACGAAAACAAAATTGGGCACATCCTTTAAAATTATTGCAGCTAATCAAATATCTGCATCTTAATGATATTACAAAATTATCTGATATTGTCTTGGACAGATAAATTTTTCTCAGAAATATTTTTCAATCAAATCGCAACCTAGTTATTTAGTATCTATGGAAGATTTCAAGAAATTTATATGTATAAAATAACTTTTAAATCAAAATTCAAAATTAAATTTTTATTAATGAAATTTTTTACTAATCTATAGTATAATAAAATCTAGTGCTTAGATATGTCACTGTTTAGTGTGACAGGATTTTTTTATATTTTTGGATGTAAAAAAACATTTTAAGAATATGTATATATATATATATATATATATATATATATATTATTCTATCATTTATATCCGTCTGAACAGATACTTCTCTGAAATTAAATGACTTTAAGTGATATATCTATTTTTTGCTCCTGCAAAGAAAACTCTCGAAGCAATCTTTGTCATTTATATCCATTAGTGTTTAATTTTTACGTCTCAGAAGAAGTTTTACTTCAATTTCTTGAAGATAATGCATCAAGGATTGTTGACAGTTGATTTGGCAACATTGTCTTTATTAAAAAGTAGCTGGGAAATAATTCCATTAGGGATGAAGTTGAATGTATACTTTGGAAATGAATAGGGATTGAGTACATATAGTGAAAGGATCTTTTTCAGAAAATAAGTAGATGTTTATTTTGTTATCATTTATTTTATTTATTTAAACTGTGTAATGAAATAAAATGTGAACAACTGATTCCATTTATAAAAATATATTTCTGTTTTAGTTTTTACAATTGTTTACAAGAGAATTGTATACTAAAGATTAACTACAATAATATTGGCTTAAATGTTGAGAAGTCTATTTGTCTATCATCTAGATCACTCTGAATTCGATTGGATGCTATTATTCATAAAGAAACTTATCACTAATTCAAGTGTTAATTACTGAATGTATTTTTGCATGAATGATTATAAAAATATGAATATTCTATCTCTGCAAACAAGTGTAGACACAAAAGAATGTTATAAAAATATGGATATTCTACCTCTGCAAACAAGTGTAGACACAAAAGAATGTTAGTCTGAAACGTCTGCAAACATTCATTAATTTTACAAATAGAATGTAAATGGTTCTGTTAAATTATTTTATTTTAGAATACATTTAAGATACAATACATAAAAAAACTTTATTTCTAAATATTATTTGGTTGTTTGAGTTTGCAGTAGTTCAACAATTTCTTTATATTCTTTCTCAACAGCAAGGTCCATCGGCGTCTTGTTATCGGTATTTGCTACATCAGGATTTGCGCCTTTGTTTATCAATAGTTGGACGACATTTTTGTGGCCATTATAGGTTGCACAGTGCAGTGGTGTCCAATTATGAATATTGCCAATATTTACTTTGGCGCCTCGACTAATCAAAGACTGCACGACCTCTAAGCGGCCATATTGAGATGCGATGTGCATTGGAGTCAAATTTTTTCTGCAACGGCATTGACATTTGCGCCTTTACTAATCAAAAATTTTACTACTTTCGAGTGGCCTTGTCCGGATGCGATGTGCAATGGAGTCCAATTTTCGTTACTAGAGGCATTGACATCGGCGCCTTTACTAATCAAAAACTGCACTACCTTCAAGTGGCCATGTTCAGATGCAACGTGCAACGGAGTAAAATTTGCCCATTCACAGCATTGACATTGGCGCCTTCACTAATTAGAAGCTGCACAACCTCCAAGTAGCCAGTTTCAGATGCGAAGTGCAATGGTGTAATTTTGTGTTCAACAGCATTATCATTGGCGCCTTTACTAATCAGAAGCTGCACTATCTCTAAGTAACAACATTGAGCAGCAACGTGCAATGGAGTCAAATATAAGATATTAGCAGCATTAATATTGGCGCCTTCACTAATCAGAATCTGCACTGCCTCTAAGTGACCATATTGAGTTGCAATGTGCAATGGAGTGTTATTTAGGTCATTAGCGGCATTAATATTGGCGCCTTCACTAATCAGAAACTGTACTACCTCCAAGTGACCATTTCGAGATGCAATGTGCAACGGAGTCTCATATCCATCATTAACAGCATTATCATTGGCGCCTTTACTAATCAAAAACTTTACTACTTCCGAGTGACCTTCTGCGGATGCGATGTGCAAGGGAGTCCAATTTGTATCATTAGCGGCATTGACATTGGCGCCTTTACTAATCAGAAACTGCACTACCTCCAAGTGACCATTTCGAGATGCAATGTGCAACGGAGTCTCATATCCATCATTAACAGCATTATCATTGGCGCCTCTACTAATCAAAAACTTTACTACTTCCGAGTGACCTTCTCGGATGCGATGTGCAAGGGAGTCCAATTTGTATCATTAGCGTCATTGACATTGGCGCCTTACTAATCAGAAACTGCACTACCTCCAAGTGACCATTTTCAGATGCGACGTGCAATGGAGTCAAATTTACCGCTCCAACAGCATTGACATTGCGCCTTTACTAATCAAAAACTGCACTACCTCTAAGTGGCCATTTTCAGATGCGATGTGCAATGGAGTCCAATTTATATTTTAACGGCATTGATATTGGCGCCTTTACTTATCAAAACTGAACTAACTCCAAGTGGCCATTTTCAGATGCGATGTGCAATGGAGTCCAATTTATAATAGTAACGGCATTGACATTTGCGCCTTTACTAATCAGAAACTGCGCTACCTTCAAGTGACCTTTTTCACATGCAATGTGCAATGGAGACAAATTTCTTTTATCAACGGCATTGACTTTTGCGCCTTTACTAATCAGAAACTGCACTACCTCCAAGTGACCATTTTCAGATGCGACGTGCAATGGAGTCAAATTTACCGCTCCAACAGCATTGACATTTGCGCCTTTACTAATCAAAAACTGCGACTACCTCAAGTGGCCATTTTCAGATGCGAATGTGCAATGGAGTCCAATTATATTTTCAACGGCATTGATATTGGGCGCCTTTACTTATCAAAAACTGCACTAACTCCAAGTGGCCATGTTCAGATGCGATGTGCAATGGAGTCCAATTTATAATAGTAACGGCATTGACATTTGCGCCTTTACTAATCAGAAACTGCGCTACCTTCAAGTGACCTTTTTCAAATGCAATGTGCAATGGAGACAATTATTTTATCAACGGCATTGACTTTTGCGCCTTTACTAATCAGAAACTGCACTACCTCCAAGTGACCATTTCGAGATGCGATGTGTAATGGAGTCCAATTTTGCTCTTCAACAGCATTGACATTTGCGCCTTGACTAATCAAAAACTGCACTACCTCCAAGTGGACCATTTTGAGATGCAATGTAGAGTTGAGTCCGGTTTGTTTCATTAACAGCATAGACATTGGCGTCCTTAATTAATTTTTGGGCTAAATCAGAGTGATCATTTTGAACTGCTTTGTACAATGGTGTCCCATTTCAACCAATCAGCACTGTTAATATCAGCGCCTTTGCTAATCAGAAAACTGCACTACCTCCAAGTGACCTTCTCCGGATGCGATGTGCAAAGGAGTCCAATTTTCCCTCTTCAACAGCATTGACATTGGCGCCTTCACTAATGAGAAACTGAACCTATATTCCAAGTGGGCCATTTTCAGATGCAACGTGCAATGGAGGCCAATTGGTGTTTATCAGCGGCGTTGACATTGGC